ACATTTCGTCTTTGAATGACTACTCTCTGTTTTTCAAAAGATCCGTAGGACTTATCTCTATTATTGCGGTTTATGTGGGTGATATTCTTTTAACTGGTGATGATCTTCATGAAATTGCTGAAATCAAGTCTTTTCTCAATGCTGAATTCAGGGTAAAGGATTTAGGGGATATCAATTATTTTCTTGGTCTGGAAATTATTAGAGAGAATCAAAGTTTTATCATCAGTCAACGCAAATTTGCTCTTGACCTTCTCAAAGAATTTGATACTTCCAATGTTTCCTCTATTACTTCTCCTTTGGATCCCTCTATCAAACTACATGCGGATGCTGACATACTTCTTTCTGATCCTACCACTTATAGGCATTTAGTATGGAAATTGAATTATCTGACACATACTCGTCCAGACCTTGCTTTTCCAGTGTTGAAACTCAGTCAATTTATGCAGCGGCCATGCCGCTCCCATTACTCTGCTGCTCTTCGTGTATTGAAATATCTGACTTTGGATCCAGGGCAAGGGATTCTCTTATCGTCTGCTCCTTCCCTATCTATAAATGCTTTTTGCGATGCCGACTGGGCATCTTGTAAGAATTCTCGCCGGTCGATTAGTGGATTCTTCATTACCCTTGGTGATTTCCCCATCTCATGGAAATCAAAGAAGCAAGCTTCTATTTCCCTTTCTTCAGCAGAGGCAGAATACAAGTCCATGAGAAAAGTCACTGCCGAGATAACTTGGCTCATCCGTTTACTGGAGGATCTTTCAGTCCCACCATCATTACTTGTTCCTATTAACTCCGATAGTCAAGCTGCGATTCATATCACCCACAACTCTGTTTTCCATGAGAGGATAAAGCATGTGGAACTTGACTGTCACTTTGTTCGACAACAATATGCCTCTGGTTTGATCTCTCTTCAGTTTGTTCCTTCAAAGCTCCAGCTCGCGGATATTTTCACAAAGCCTCTTTCTAGCGCTTCCCATCATGGCATTTTATCCAAGTTGGGGGTTTCTTCTCTCCCCTCCAACTTTAGGGGGGATGTTGGCAAACATAATTTCCACTCATCTATTAGCTGCAGAAAGAAAGGAATGAAGAAGAGCATGTGAGCAGCACACTATATCAACATAGGAGGGAATAAAATTAGTTAGGTTATTAGAATATTTCTACAGAATTTAGACAAGTGTACAACTGTGATTTTTTCTGTATTTTCCTTTTTCTTATTTCCTTGCACAAAATACTTGTATGTAAAGATTGAAGATGATGATCAATAAAGCATCAGAAAATTTCCACAAACGTCTCCTACATTTCTTACATATAGCCTAAAACTCACTCTGCATCCGCTTCGACCCGTTTCGCCCAGCCCCATAGCCATCCCTAAGCTCATCTTCATCCTACCATCTATTATATATTATTTAACAATATAAAGTCAAAGACAAAGAGAGACAAATACGAATCCAAGAAAAATGTCAATTATTGTCTCCAAATTAAAAGCAAGCAGCATCCTATGAAAACAATTCCCCGCCCCTGACACTAAATTTTGCAGTTATGTTCTTAAATTCCACAACCATATTTTTCAGTCCTTTGAATTTAGAGCCAAAGAGAAAGAATGATCTTAGACCAACTCTTTTGGATGATGTACGTTTGGTATTCGATTCTGATAATTTAATAATCGATAATTTAAAATAAACATCAAATATTATTTTTTATAGTTAACGGCTTATTGGTGTGAGGCGGATTATTTAATTTTCTTATCGGATAAAACGTTAATCCGTTAAGAGTTATTTTTACACTTTTATCTTAGATATATTAACCTCATTTAATATTTTGCCATAATATATAATTTTATATTTTTAGTCTTAAAGCCGAAAAGCCAAAAACTAAAAAAGCCTATTTACTTTTTTGTTCACGTATTACTATTATATTACTATTAATTTATAAAAAAAATTCAATATAGAAGAATTTTATAATTTAACTATATTTAAAATAGTGAAAAGAAGCCTTTTTTTTTAAGGTGGATGAAAAAAAAAGGTAAAGGTTAGCCGATACACTCAAATAACTGCTCGATAATTACTAATATGTTATCAAATCAATCAATATCTTATTAATTGCCTAGCAGATTAATAAATTTAAAACTCATATCTAATAGGTCAAACCGTTAAAAGTGAAATTATCTTCCCGCTATATGTCTTGACCGATACAAGTAGTAAGGAGGGGCCCCGCCTATTTTGAAACTGTATTGAAGAGACGGTCTAACGTGGACCACGTCTAACACAAAGTCGGTGCCAACTCTCCCACGTTTGCTGCTTTTTTTCACTTGCCATTTCATCACATCATTCTTCCACAATATACCCACACCCCACGTTCTTTGTTTTCCCTAAACATATATATATACACTAACAAACAATCTTGAAAAAGCATAAATACTATAGTTGAATAGTAGTACTCCTAATATAATTAAGTGTGCATGCATAAATTGATTGTTTCTATATATATATGGAAAAAATTAGCACTACTATTGATGATCATCAAGAAATTAACAATATGGAGGAAGAATGTACGACGCCAAGGAATCAAGAATGTCGAATACAAGCGCCGTTAGAGTGTCCGCCAGCGCCAAAGAAAAAAAAGGAATGTCGAAAGAGGGAGATGCCAAAAAATGGTTATTTTCGACCATCTGATCTTGATTCTATTTTTGATAACGTGACTGCTTCAACTAGGTAGTGGCCCACTTTGGGATTCTAACGATGACGGAAGCCTAGCCTCTATCTTGAAGGATTGCGTGATTATATATATTCTCCTAAGTAGTTTAGTTTTACCTTCTTGTTCTCTTTATGTAGATGTTTTAGATTATTAATTAGGAATTTAGGGTGAATATCTGTTTATCATGTAGATGTATTTGCTATATTTATTAACTTCTCTTTTTGTGCTTTGTGCATGAAAACCAAAATTCTTTTTCTTCCTTTTGAAATGGTCCCCTTGTGATTCTCGGTGGTGAAGCCAGAATTTTCAATAAAGGGTTTAAAATCTGAAGAAATAGATACACGAAGTAGCCAAAGGGGTTCGACATCTACTATATACACCTAAAATATTATTTTAACCATGTAAAAATCATATATTTTTTCGCCCAAAGGGGTTCAGATGAACCCTGAGAATAAAAGTGGCTCCGCCGCTACTGATTCCGCTGATAATTTGTGTTTGCTTTAATTTGCTTTTGAAATGGTCCCCTTGCGTAACATCAACGCTTGTTAGAGCTCTCCTCAATCTGTTTATGATAAATCAATTAGTTTCAAATAAACCTATTGATTTAGATCGAGAGAACATTGTGCTTTCATTTTTTAATTTTATTTTTGGAGGGGGTAAATAGGTTTTTAAATTCTTTAAATTAAATACATATTTATAGTTTGATTCAGTTATTTGGTTTTTAAGAAATTAAATGGAGTACTTTTCTTTTCTTCTTTTTTTCCTGCAATTAAAAAGAGAATCATCTTTTACCAACTTTTAATCTTTTATTACCCTTTTATTTTAATGATCATAATATTTTAAGATTATAAAAAAATGTCTTAATTAATATCTATTAAGTCATGATTAAATAAATAAAATTTACAAAAAAAAGGTCTAGATAAAAATTGCATACTTGTTTCTTTAAAAGACTCGTTGGTCTGAGGTTGGCCAAATGCAAAAAAAAAAAGTCGTTTGGTGCATTTGGTGGGATGTGGATAACTTATTTCGAGATAATTAATTTTGGGATACTTGTTCCCGATCAAATGATCTCTATGTTACGTTTCTAATTATCCTTTTTTGGATCAGTTCAAAGACTTTCAAATTTCAAATTTGACTTGTGTTGATATAATCCACCTCCTAAAAACAATCAATTAAAAATATATTTTACCTAATTAATCTTAATATGATATTTTGAAATTTTAAATTTAATTATTACTACTTTATAGAATTATTTAATAGTAAAAATAATATAGAAAGTAAAATAATTAAATTATCTTAATTTATTAAAATATACAAATCGAACGGAGGGAATAGTTAGCACAAAAATCAGATGTGGACTTAAAGCATTTTTCCCCTTATCTATGGGGAAAGGTGCACATTTATAACTGTCATCAAGTAGTTCCCTCAAAAGCAGGTCATCTACTTTTTCAATTTGTGTGTTATTTTCCCATCTATTTTTAAGAAATACTTACCTTTTTGTTTTATTTGGCAATTTTTTAAGAACATATTTGGATTAATTTTTAATTTTTCGCTTATTTTATATTTCAACTTAAAATCAAGTGCTTATAAATATTTTAAAATTTATTTAGATCTTGTTTGAATTATCTTTTTAAAAATAGTTTTTAAGCAATTCAGTAGTATTTAGGTAAAATAAAAAGTGCTTATAAGTACTTATTTTCAAGTTAAAATAAGCCATAAAAACTTGACTGATATAATTTTTGACTTAAGAATACCTCTCAAACAAATTTTGAATCTGGATCAAATTTTGATCTTTAATATATTGTGATTTTGTCATATTTTTAATTTAGAATTAGATAAAATTCGCTACTATTTAGAAGGGCTTTGATTAAGATGTTCTTAATTATAATTCTTTTTCTTTTTTGAATTGACATTATAATCAATAAATTTGTATATTGAATTAAAAATATTCTCAAATCAAAATCAGACGAACAAACTGAAAAAGTACATCTTTTGTAACATCAGACTAATTTCATTCAAAAAAATTAGCTACTTACTACTCCTTTAGTTGTCCACTTCATATCGTCGCGTTCTGTTTCATCAACAAACAGGTTCCACATACAGTAACAAGTCTCACGAAATTCAAATGAACCTCGAGTTTATATGCTAAAGAAGAAAAGTACGATTTTTCGAGCTGTGGAAGCACTATACTGCAGGAAAATTTAGTCACATTTCTGAGGAAGCTAAGAAAATTGATTCTAAAAAGATACTGCTACTAAAGATGAATTATGCAAGCAAAAGCCTCTGTACAATAATACCATTCAAGGTTCTCATATTTGTTTCTGTTGTTACAAGGGCTGTGCATACAACATAGCAAATAATAACTATATAAACAAGCCATTGAAACCAATTATTAACTACATAAGCCAGCCTTTCGAACTGATTAATGGTTTCTTGTTACAGCATAAGCATGGAAAAGTACTGCTCAAACTCTTTATCAATGGTTAGTTTCGTGGAGCTTGGCTGTGAATCTGCATCAATAAGAGAAATATATGTATCATTCCAAGGAAGCCAAATGACCATGTTCTCTGTATAAACATAATACCACAAAGTGAGGTCTGAGGAAGGTAGAGTGTACGGAGACCTTATCCCTACCTCAGGTATAGAGGTTGTTCCCATACACCGACTCAAGGGAAAATAGGAGATAGTAACAAAACCAGCAGATAGTAACAAGACAATTAACTACAACAAAATAATATGATAGTCGAAGTACAAGAAATAACAAATAGTAACAGAAATTGAAGGACAAGAAACCACAGGAGCGATACTATAACTACTAGAATGGACAGATAACAAGACAACACATTGCAACCTATTAACCTTCTACCTTAATCCATGTACTCCACAATTTAGACATTCATTTAAAAATCTCTATCTGCCTCACAACTCTCATGAGAAAGAAGAGGAAAAGAGAAAGTGGAAGCTAAGTTACCTTGGTTAACAGTCCATCTTCCAGATGAAAGAACATAATTGCTCGGATTCACATTGGCGTTTAGCAAGTTTTCAAGTTCTTTTTCTGTTGTGAGCTCAATGCCCTCAGTGCTGCATTCTGCGCATGTGCAATCCTTGTGATTCCCCAATCCCAAAAAATGCTCCTCATAATCCATTGACGGGTGGCATCCAGAACCGTGATGTAGAGTACCCCATCCTCTGCCGGTAGGGGATTGCTCCGGCCTATCAGGCATTAATTTTGTCAATGATCTGCTCTCCAAAGAATAAAGGGCATTTTTGGACCAGTTGCCCCCCAATTTAACAGATGAAGTTGAAGCGTGATCAGATGAACATGCTTTCAGACATCCAGGATCAAGTTTAGCCTCATGAGACGTGACAGAGTCAGCATCTTCACAAAAACTATTGCTGCCATTCTCAGATTCTAGTTCTGAATCATCATCTTGGCCCCTTGCAGCATTTTCTACTATAATCATACATGCCGAAGATTCTTTAGCTGCAGTGCCAGTATGTGAAGAATTACATTCAGCAGAGCTCTGATATGAGCACATATGCTTAGGTAACGGCATTCCCAATTGTTCAGCTTGAAACTTTCTTTCTTGTTAAAGTAAACAAGGCTGGTAGGTAGTAGCTTGCTCATATCAACACTGGTACAATAAGCAAACCAGTATTAGAAAAATGAAATCATAGTTGAACGACGATCCATTTCAAAGGGCCAGAGAAAAATTGTAAGCACTAATAAAGAAAAACATGCAGACTTTTACTGACATGACTTTTGAAAAGCAGATTTCATGGAAAGAAATTAAAATTTGACAGCTACATGTAAGCGTACAGAAACTTAGATCGCATTACTTCATCTTTTACAATAATGCAGCATATGCTAACCACTTGTTTTAGGAATAGGTAAAAAATCTACAATAGAAACTACCTCTCAAATCATAACAGTTATCTTCAAGCATTTGATGAAGAAAAGGGGAATTTTACTGACAAACTAAGTGAAACCTACACAGGCTGAAGCTAAGTTTTGGAAGAGCTACTATACACATTCCCAATTTCCCATTGCGATGCACTTTCTTGTTCTTCTCTGTATTACTGGGTACACTCCGTTCGTACTCAATGTGTTCAAAAACTAAAGATCCAAAACTGTGTTGAGGCTACTGTTGGTGGACTCCGTTTCTAAAATTAAGAGTGGTCACACTTGATAAACATGTCCCTTTATTTCTTCATTGGAAATGAGCTATCTTAGTAAGACAGGTCACACTTAACAGAGGTCTCGGATTCAAGCTCTAGGAATGGAACCATTCCCCTTAGAAAGCCTTGCTCTCAAATCATTCATACGCAACACAAATCTAGATTAATATAGCCCAATGGGTTGCGATAACTAAGGCGAAAATCAGAAAAGTAAGGCATACTATAGTCTTCTCAGCTAAATGCAGATCAAACCAACAAATTAAAACATACAAACACACATATAAATATCAAATATTCAACACATAAAATTGATGATCCATCCTTTCCCAGCTTACCAAGTGACTCAAATCTTAATACCTATTTTATAGTAATTAACGCAAAGATATGACACCTGAGCCTACGTCCTTTTAACTCAACCCCAAAACTAGGAGAGGATTGTCCCGGTACGTATAAGCAAATCACTAGTCCATTTCCCAACCGACGGTTGACTCTTACCCACTAAGGGCAAAAAAAGGAGATCCATCAAGAAATATCAACTAGTTGACCAAGTTGAAATAAAACAACTTTACTAAAACCCAAGTAGCATTAAACTAACAAATAGATACCACAAAAAGGAAATTGAAGAAACAAGAGATCCAAATTGAAAAAAAAAAAAAAAAAACCTGTTGATATGAGCACAGATATGCATATTTTGGTCATCCTCCATATTTTTTTGCAGGTAAAATGAAATGGAAGAAATTTAGGTGTACGGATGATTATGAACCATTGGGAGAAATGGAGAAAGTATAGATGGGGTGAGGGTGACAGACACTGCCATGAGGCCATGAGCCCATGACTATGCTATTATAAAGTTGGAAAATAATTATTATTTCATTATACCTGCATAAAATTAAGTGCATGAACTAATTTATTATTATTTAAATATATCTAAATTAATTGAGCATGGTCTTTTAATTTATTTTTTTTATAGTAAATTATAGATTTTGGTTAATTGGTTGATCCCAATAACAACAACAATAATAGTTTGATATGATGTATAAGGTATAACAATTTCAAGATAAAATGTAAAATTATTTTATCCTGTATTTGATAAATATTAGGTAATTTTTAGATTGTTTATCTCATTATTTATACTATAATAATGGAACAAATTACTCCATATATATGCTGGAATAATTTATTTCAAGATAAGTTATTCCGAAATAACTTGTTTCCGACCAAATGTAATTTTTTAAAAAATATTATGGTTATTATTGGTTATTATCCCAGGCGCGCCAGTACAGTAATCTCTCTCGTACCAAAATTATGAAATTCCACTACTCGAGTTTGAGACACGTGCATCTCATCACTACTTTCTTTGGCTTAATTAAAACAACAATTTTAAATTTATTCTTATTATAAGAGGTTCTATTCTTTTTTTTTTTTTTTTTGAGAAGGATAAGAGGTTCTATTCTACTTTCATTAGTTTCACTTTATTTGTGATATTTGACTTAATTAAAATAAAATAAAGTAAGGATGGTTGTACAAATCTCCCTTTGAGTTGTACTTTATCACTGAGTTAATATCATAAAAAATCATTTAATTATGAAAATTAATTTAATTAAGCCATTAAAATTTAATTATATTAATAAAATTTCAACTTGAGATTTTTATTTATCAAAATTACTTAACTAAATTTTAACTAAATTTATTATTAGAAAAAATTTAATATAGAAAAATAAATTAATATATATATATATATGAGTTTCATAAATAAACAAAAATGAAGAAATATGTCTTGCATATTTTTAGTCATAATAAATTAAGCAATTAAATTTTTTCCTCTCCAATTAATGGAATTGAAAGGGGGGGAAGCGCGCGCGTGTACGCACGGCGTAATTAGGAGTGTGGGCAAATTTGGTTACTAGCCGACTAGGAAAAGTAGCATGGAGTCCACGAGGGATTACAGTAGATGTCCCCTTTATCCTTTGTATCTTTTTTTTTGTTTTTGTTTTTCCACTTGATAGTTGATGTTTTGTATATGTGTCTAGGTTCGATTAATTTAAAATTTTATTTTAGAGAGCCTTTAATTAAAAATGAATGATATTGATAATCTTTCAATTAATTAGAATTTGTATCGATAAATTACACTTTTAACCTAAAGAACTCTTTGTTAAATCTTTGAGCTCAAAATCTCTAATTAATGGTAAATGTATAGTAATAATTCCAACGCAATTTTTGGCGGTATTTAGTAGCATCTTCACCATTAAGGGGTCGTTTGGTACAAATATTGATAACGCAGGGATTAGTAATGTAGGGATTAGTAATGCAGGGATTAGTAGTGCAGGGATTATTTTTTGTCAAGCGTTTGGTTCATTAATTCTCACTTAATCTTGTGTTTGATTTAAAACTCTACAAAAAAAATCTTTCCTATTATATCCTTGTGTTATTATGAGATTGTTTATTTCATGTAATTGAGTCAAGGTAGATAATCAGACCATAACACTACAATAATTTTTTTTTAGAAAATAACAACAAAGAAAAAGTGTGTTATATAAATTGAAACAATTTTTTTTCTTTTTTGTGCATAATTAATAACAAGAATTTAATACTACGCAACAGTTGAATAAAATTCATAGTAAAAAAAAAATGCTAAATCTTTATTTATTTATTTTTACAAATTTTAACCTGTATAATTACTGTATATGGCAACCGGATGTTGACAAAAAAGTTTAAACTTATCAAAAATGAAGATCTAAAAATATACTTATACAATTTTATACCAAAACCCAGATAATAATTAATCAAAATTGTTGTGGGACAATATTGTTTTTTTTAGGATTTTCTATTTCATTTAACTAGTTACGTTAAACAGATGCATACATATACATACATATACATACATATACATACATATATATATATAAATTGAGGTATGACGTACCACTTTTTTTTGTTGGTAAAGTATATCTTAAACTTAACATAGATTTAAGACTACTTATATTGTTCAATAGTTAAAGCTTATTAAAAAAAATATTCCAAGTGATTAATCGACGAACTACATTGAATAAAAAAAAGGAGAAAAAAAATATTAATGAAATCATTAAATTACACTAAACGGATTTGGAGAATTAAAAAGAACATTTATAATTATTTCAATATAAATAAAAAGAAAATTAAATTATAAAAGAAATTTAGGAAAATAAATAAAGGGATAATTTTGTCATTTAGGGGTCTTATCCAAGGTTTAACAAACCTTGGATTAGTTATCCCTCCATTTACTAGGGATAAAATAAGACCATATATAAGGTATAAGCAATCCATGGATTAAATAAAATAATGCAACCAAACAATGTATTAGATGGATTAAATTTTAATCCATGGACTATTCTATTTAATACCTCCTACCAAACGAGTCCTAAGTATCCAAAATTTTGCACTTTAAAAAGACTAATGTCTTCCATATCTTTCATTTTTATTCTTTAGAAATCAATCTTATGCCCAGTGAAGCATAAATTCTTCGGAAGAAATTGAAGTTATATTCGAATATAACTGGTTGGGTATTATGATAAAAAAAAAAAAAAAAATGTTTGTTATGATGACAAAAATTAAAGACAGCACAAAAATAGGGACTAAAGTCCAAATGAACCTTAAGTATCCCCTGAGCTTGTTCAATTTTCGTTTTCTGTGAGTAGCCAGTTAAGTTTCTTGGTTTCAGGCTTTCAGCCTCGTAATCATATACATGTGATACAGCCCAGCAATGTTTTGCGCTCACCAACCATAGTTAAGCAACAAACATATAGAAGGAATAATTTAATTTTTTTTAAGATAAGAGAGAAGGAATATTTAACCACGTAGTATATGATTATCACTCTACTCTTAATTACAAGTCTCGAATTTGAATAATAAAAATATGAAAAAAGTTCCATTAGGAAACTATTTTTCTCCTTAGTTGGCTGACCTTACATGAATTTAAATTAATCGAGCCAGTGAATCAAAGACCAGATGGTTAAGAAAAAAAAAATCTTAAACACCCCCTACGCCAAACCGATCTAACCCTTGACAAGATTTAAAAACTTTGAAATAACTTTTACCTTAGTTGCTATGATTTGTTTCAAGAAAAAGGAATCACCAATGGCCTGTCATTTGTCGACATTATCAATTATGCTGGAAGAAGGAAGGAAGAAGTTGGCACATAATTGCAGCTGTTTGAGCTACATGCAAGTTCTTTTCTATTTTACATGGTGTATGCTAGCTTTATAATCCCAACTATGAACAATGGGAACTATCAACTCTCCTATTGACAGCCTCCTCGATAACTCTCGTTACCTTTTTGATAGTGTCTCAGCATATGGAGGACTGGAGATCTCTGAAATGACAGAAAACAAAAAAATCACCTCCATGTTGTTAATCTTGGCTGATGACGAGCAGACGACACTGTTAATCTTGCTACTCCAAAGGCAGAACCAGGCTTCCTCTGCTTCTTTGGCAACTAAAACATTGACATCTTGGATGTTTCAGTAACATGTTCATGATCTTGATGTCGAGGAGCCCTCAAATGGTGTCCGATAGCGAAGGCCAGAACCTATATGTCTTGTTGTGGGGCACGCCCAGCAACATACATTTGGGCCTAGAACCTGCATTCCCAGGCAAACCAGTTAAAATGATTAAACTAAAGAAGTTGGGAAATCAAGGAAGAAAAAAGAATTATGGACAAGGAAAAGGAAGTTAACGATAGCATATAGAGAAAGAAGAATGATCGCTTACTGATATCAAATTCTCATATGCACCAAGATCATATGGATGTGAATGTACATGACCTCCCTTTTCAGCCAGCCACATAGCTCTGACACCTTCTTGGTACTATTAGGCACTAATCAGTTATAATTTGAAAAGAATAGAATAAAGTAGCATATATTCAGGTAGACAGACCTCAATGGTTGTCTTGTTTTGCAAAATCAGGTGCACATGCCAACCCAGAAAAACCCCTAGTGCCAAACTTAGTGGCACCAGTAGAAGCCCTGAAAGAATCTGCTAAAAGGAACAACATCTGAGCAAATGGATGAATGAAATAGTACTAAGAACAAAACTAGCTCATGAGAAATTACATATACTGTTCTGTAAGAACCTTCAATTTGCTGGTTGTCCTTTGGAGAATCAATAGTTAAGCTACCAACAAGCAGAACCTGAAGAAACAAAAGTAGGAAGTGTTGAAGGGTCGCGAGCAAGGCAAAGATACTTAAATCTTGTAGGTTATGTTGATCAATCAAATTTCATCATAAGCACCAATTTAGAAATATAAGTAATAAAGGAAGAAAGGATACAGGCATAGCATACCAAGATCATATACAGCCTCTAAAAGGCATCAAAATGTCAACTTCTTACCAGGGAATATATGCAAGCAATAACAGCGTATAAAACGAAGATGAAGAAGATCTTGTAGTTTGCATGGCCCACACAATTATTCATCCACACACAATGATGATCCTTGTATTCAAGAGGCAAACGATTTAGTATATTATCCAGGATATCAAGAAATAACATAAAAGTAAACATAGAGGCATACGACATACCATTCGCAGTACACATCTATTACATACACGACAATGATGGGCACGTGGAGGCTTATAAAGGGAACACTTCTGGCAGTATCTCATATCCCCACCCTGCAGAGTAATTCAACAGACACGAAATCACATCCAAGCACTCCACAATTAAATTTAACAGAATTTTTCACTTTTAATGTTAGTTTTAGGGCTAAGGACCAAATTGATATCTTTTTACATACATCAAGTACTATTTCAATAAGATGGTATATATGAAGGATAAAAATAATTCAACCCCTATGCATTAAGGACCATTTTGGTCGTTTTCTCAAAGTATTTGATAATTTGGTTAGAGAATGAGAAACAGCCTTCTTCAATTCAAATAGATATAAAATGTTCATACCTATTATACTAATTTTGACACACTTCTAGATTATACTTCTACGGGTTCTTTCAAGTTTGTTATCATTTTTTGGATTATTTTTTTTAAAAAAAGGTTCACTCAACTTGACTGCCAGTTGAATCAGTTAACAGTAAAAACATTACCAAGTAAATGACATTCCTGGTTCAATGATCTTTAGAGTGTTGGGACCAGTCTCTCAACCTTAAGTTTGCACTAAGAGAGAAACTACTACATGACAAAGACAAAGACCAGATCAAAGAATATATGACTTTCAATGGGGAGGAAATAGTAAGACATTCCGGTTTCATGTTTATAAAGGTGGAGCGACAACATCAGCAAGCAGGGCAAATAGTTATGAAGGTTCATCAATAAGTTTGATAAGGAGTATAGACTGCGCAGATCTGTTGTAGCAATGAGTAATGGAGTAGAAGGCGGTCAATGCAAGTCAAGACTTGTGGCAAATTCTAAGGGGTTGAGTTTGTAGAAACCAACTGGGGGATTTGAAAACACATCAAATTTGAAAATTGATGATGGTACTTGGTAGAAGAATCAAATTCCGGTCACTCTAGCAAAAGAAGTGTACATTGAAGGTTTTATCAAAAAAAAAAGAAGTGTACATTGAAGGAAATCTTTCTAAGCAATTTAGATGTGCTTGCTGCAGAGTTAGAAATTAAGCTGAATGGACCAAGGGATGAAGATTGAGCAGGGAACCTTCTGAACAAGGGCATACCTAGAATGTAAGATAAATTGTATTACATAGGAATTGACACCATTGTTAAAAGGGTATGATTTTTGTGGCCAGATTATAGGCTCTATTTATGAGTAGGGGAGAAAAGGGGGTTATTTCTCTGCTAAGTCTCTCTACTCATTATAGTTGTGACAGCTAAGTTTTTAAAGCACCTTAACATTACATTGTGCTTCCACTGGCAGTGCATGCCACATTAGAGTTACCTATTCAAAACAATCTCCATACAAGGGCAGGGGGACAGTGTTGGGTAATAGGTCAGTTCTGCATGAAACTAAAAACAACTTCCTTTTTTGCAGCATCAAGTAACAAAGGAGGTTTAGAACAGCCTTTTTCTTTTGAGATGGATTGGATTTTCACGATATTGACTATGAAATGCTTATCTAAAGAGGCAAAGACTTTAAAGAAGAAAGTTTTGGGATAGAGCACAGTTAAAGGGGTTCCAACCCCGAATTCCAGAAGTACAAAAGAATAATCCTCCGCGTTTTCATTCAGCTCACAGAGGGACGAAAACACTGTATACAGTTAACAAATATTGAAGTATCAACGTTCTGCCAGTCCACCTAAGACCTTTGCCCATAATCAAGCATTACAAGAGCAAGTATTTGAAAGGAAGATTTTCCAATAATTGACTTCATCCAGTATGACAAAAGCATCCAACAAAACATTTTTAACAGTAAATTCATTATCTACAGGGTTTTGCTTGACTTGCTCACTTGTCATGCTTGGTGACATATTTGTTATTATAAACTCCATATGATCATACCATTATAATAACTTAGAAAGAATTTCTTCCTGTATCTGCTACAGATGTTAATGCCATATTTCATAACTGGTGAGCTCCATTAATATAAAACCAGAATCTCCATTTCTGCAAAAGCACAAGCCACAACTTGATTCTAGTTCAATGTGTTATTAACTAGTTCACACACTCTAGCCTCTACCTCCTTAAAAAAGAAAAAGCAGCTCATTGCACTAAGCTCCCGCTATATGCGAGGAGTCCGGGGAAGGGCTAGTCTCTACCAGCATAATACAAGTAGAATATACGACATTAAAGTAAATTATAAAGGTAAGAAACGAACAAAACCTTTCGCTTGATCTCTTGAACCGTATTCTCCGGGTCTTCGACATCGGGCACGAAGGAGCTAGGAACCCGACCCGGATCAGTGTAGATTGCAAGTGCGTAACTCAAAATGCAGAAGAGAGCAACGACGGAAAACAGGACGGCGTTAAGCATACCGGGAGACGACCAAAGTCCCAACCACTGATCAATGAATACAAATACAGTGGAGAAGTAAATGTAAGCAATTGCCGCAGCGACGACGGTGACGTGGAAGGAGATTCTGCAGCCACGTGTTGCTTTCATCTCAGCTTTTCACTTGCCGGAGTGGTGGCTGAGAGAAGAGGATACAGACGGCGTCGCCGGCGAGGTTGGACGGGGGAATGGAAAATGGAATTTACGGGTTGGATCTAAGGCAAAATTGGAGCGGTGTTTGGTTGTATGGGACCCGACTTACAACTTAGATAACTATATTTTAACTTCCGAGCCAAATATAATTGTGCCAAAAAAAAATATATGAAATTAATATAATTTAATTTAACTTTGAAAGTTAGTTAAATCACTCACGAAAAGCGCAATATGAAGATTAATGAAGGAATGAAGAAAATTCTAAGATACGAAGTATTGGAAACACATTTAACTCGATGTGAATTATTAATTTCATCCCTAAACTATTTATAACCTTAAAAACACTTCTTTATTTGATAAACTGAACTTAAGCACATTTTCGATCTTGCAACATGAGTGAAAATAACTCCTAAATTATCATCAAGTTTAAGATATTTTCGACACTTTTCTTGAATTTTTATTAAGAGTCTTATACTCCTACAAGAGTTTGGACCACTTGTCATGTCATGTGACAACTCAGGTTCGTATCCAAGCTTAGTTAGTCAAGTAAAAAAATGTTTTAATATTGTCAATAGTTCGAGGAGGAAACTAGTAATTTACACAGATTTTAAAGGTGTTTTAAATACTTCTCTCAAATCCTAATGATCCTAATTACTACTCACTTTGTCCCAATTTATGTGACACATTTCATTTTTCGAGAGTCAAATAATTTAAGTTTGACCGAAAATTTACGCATGAAATCTTCAATTATTTGAAATGAAATTTATATGTTTGTAAACTACGTAAAAAGTACTTTAAGTTAAAATAATCGACAATCCAAAATATTTAAAAGATATGAAAAATTTACAATAAAAAAATAAACTAATTTAAATCTTGAAATTTAAAATATGTCACATCAATTAGAACGGAGGGAGTAATATATATCATTTTCCTTTCATCGTCATTATTTTCTCTGCTAAGAAATTAGTTTACGGCAAATGATTCTCAATCTTCAACTTGATTATGTATAAAATATTGTTTATATCTTTATTATACAATATATTATATAAAAATAAATTATACCAAATATATGATTTATATGCGATATATATTTTTTTTATGAAAAAGGGAAACTAAGCAAATACATCATAAAAGTAAAATAACTATAAATATATATCCTTTTACATTTATACCCTACTATATAATTACACTATATACTCCCAACTAATTTCGCTTAACTGATACTAAATCAGAATCATATATTGTATTGGTATCATTAAGGCTGATAATTTTGCTAAATTAATGTTAAATCACTATATATATATATATTGGGATACCAGATACATGGAAGAATGGCAAGGGAGGTGAGCGAATTTAGCTATTTATCCGAGATACATGCAAATCCACTTGGATACAGTGTATCTAGAACAAATTACACCTAAATTTGACCTCATACATGTATCTAGATGTATAATTGGAGGCACCAAAATCTAGTAAGATACGTAATATTGCGAACTAAAATGTATCTAAATAATTAACTCATAAACTTGTGGGATTTATGTAAGTTCCCCCTTTTTAATTTAGAATTAAATAAAATTCACTTATATTTTAAACCGAATCCGGCAATCCGCTCTTAATTATTTAATGAATGTCCGGTAATTAATACTCTTAAAATTAGAAGGGTCTTGATTACAAATATTCTGAATTATGATTCTTTTTCTTATTTTGAATTGACATAATTATCAGTAAATTTGTATATTTAATTAAAAATATGTCAAAACAAATTTGAAGATTTTTTCTTCTTCTTAATTTTATGAAACATAAATTATACTAGACAAGTTTTCGTGGCTAGAATATCAATTTCCAACACACTTGAATTTAAGCTCATGTCACATTGCCATGTTTGATTCTGACAGGCTTGGATTTAAACTCATTTGTTGTTATCGTAAAAACATGATTAGTCGATGATCATATTATGATCCAATCAATTCAATATTTGCTTCAATCAACTTGATTATGTAAAAATGAGCTAAATAATACAATATTTCTAGTAAAAACTGTTACTTTTTTATTTTATTTTTGCTTTGATTACCAATGTGAATATTGCTATTAAAAGAAAACGTACATACTAACGAGCAATTCTTATTTATGAACCGTAAATGTTGTCAGGAGAAAAAAGAGCCTTCAATGAAAGAGTAATTACTTTACTCACCTTTGTAACCATCGACCTTAATTTATCTAAAAAAATTGTAACATTGATTTATCAATTTATTTTATTTTATATTGAAATTTGTAGGAAAGAAAGATTGTATTTTTTTAAATGATAAAAATATTTTAAATTTTGGATTAAACTACTCAAATATTCATATTATTAGATAAAAAATTTTATACAACAAGAATCTACGATGATGTATTACATATATATGGCTAACTTATTAACTTGAAATGACCCTAATAACATTATTAGTATCAAATTCTTGTTGTAAACTCAAAAATAGTATACCTTATAAAAATATTACATAATAAGTATTGATAAAGTACATAGTGCACCAAAGTAATACGTAACTAGTTTTGAATAAGCTTTTGACTAAATAGTTTGGACTCAAAATTAAATATCTTTTTAAAATTAGTCTTGATGATACTAGATTGATTATTATACCATTAATATATATATCTATGACACAAAAAAGGATATATACCAATGGTATAATAATCCAATCTAGTATCATCGAGTCTATTTATGACACAAAAAAGAAATATAACTTCGAATAATTCAATTAATAATGAATAACATGGATTAAGATTGAATTATCATATTTTTTTATCCATCAAAAACATTTGATAATCCTATCAATAATCGAAAAAGAATGGTCTGTATATCATAAATTATGGATGGATCCTAGTTGTTAAATATGCCATTACCTTCATATCATATTTAATAATTATTTTTCCTAATTAATGTAACATTACCCATTATACCAAATAAAGAAAATATTATTTTCTAATACTTTTCATTTGATATTTAATAAATATCTTTTCTTATTTATATACATCAAAATTTTTAAAAAATTGTTATTCAATTTATTTTTTTCATTTGGTTAGATATATCACTACCCTCCTATGATGTTTAATAAATACCATTATCCTGATCATACGATATTGAATAAATTGTTTTCCTTTTTTTATATGGTGCAATTATTTAGGGGAAGAAAACGTAAGTAGATAGTATTTAAAAAAATTATTACATGTATACATCAATATTAATTAATTATAAATTATAACATATAAAATAGTATATTCTAGTATAGAGAATCACTTTTCCATGCCAAAGAAATAGGGAATGATGAGTTGTACTGGATTTGTTTAATTTATATTTCTTATAGTTTTCTTCTGCTTTCCTTACATGTTGTCTTTTTTTTTTCTAATTTTTTTTCTTTAGTTATTTATACATGATTATTTGTGAAAGGGTATTATATATAGTGTGGTGTGTGTGGTGTGGTGGGGTGGGGGTACTTTGTATATAACCATGTAAAGCTAATGCACATTACTTAAAAGGCATGTCATTCAACATCTACAAAATATAGAATTATAAAATTAATGTGCTAACGTATAAATATTGATTAAATAACGCTTATTGGTAAAGTTTGCTTTCCGGGATGATGGTTGTAAACTCCACTTTGCAATATGAGGTCACATCTTCGATACCAGCATTGTTTGATAGAAATTAATTGGAGTTTTTAAGCAAGAGAATTTGATGAAGTTTGAGTAAGTTCAAATGTATGAAGGAGTTACAAGTTCCATAGGTACTTGCCCAAATTAAAAAAATAAAAAAAGGTCTAGAGGTACAAAGGAAATACTAGTACATATAATTATTATTATGTGATGTGTTGATGTTTACTTGTCTACTTGGTTGAGCTTGCCAAGACCATTGCAATTTGCACAAACAATCTGAACTTGATCTTTTCTAGCTGCATTTGCTTTCAAAGCTGCCCCTCCTTTCCTCACAAATCCTGCTCCATCACATTCTGGACACCTACAATACAAACACATTCAAAGCATCAATTGGAAGACACGTGACGGATTCTGAAATTTTATACATAATTTCTGAATCAATAAATCGTAATTGATCCATAGATTTCTCGAAATAAACAAAGTTGGATAACTTTTGAACAATTCAATATATTTTTAGGCAATTTCATTTATTGAGCCGTCCCTTTTTCTATGGATCATTCCATCCTTAATCAGGTGTCTCGACCCTTATGAATTAGTTAGAATTGCAGATGATTAATAAACAGTACTAAAAGGAAAAATTGAAGCAAAAGGGGGGAAAATAGTACAGGTCTTTGCGGGAAAAGAGTATAGGGAAAGCAGTTCCAAGCAATGCGACAGCAGCAGCGCCAGCAATTAAGTAAACGGTTCCGTCGGATGAAACATCTCCAATGGCGGCCACAACTTTCAAGGATCTCTGTTTTTTGTTTTTCTGAGTTGTGGTAGAACAAGATGAAACATTTGTACCAAGAAAATTTGATGGAATTACAGGGGATTTCTTGGCTGAGAATTGCACACAAGCTATAGAGGAGGAGGCCATGGTGAAATTGTTATATGTTGTGATTTGTTTTTCTTGGATGTGAGATGATGAGATATGGTGTAGTAATTAGTAGTATAAATCAAGTGTTATCCACAGAGAAATCAGAGATTGAATTGTTGTTGCTGCCACATGTGTGAGAAAAATTGGATAAGGAATCCACATCAGACTCAAGGATAAGTGGGGTCACTAATATGATTATCGTGAAATGGTTAAGATTTTTTTTATATATAATTAAATATCTTGAATTCGAGTACTGAAAATGAAAAATATCTTGTTAAGAGTACTGTCCTCAAAGGTGATGATCGAGTCTTAAAATGTGTGAATTCGAATTGGTAAGACTTTAATGTGGATATCAAACGTCACACAGAAAAAAAGAAAAGGATAAGTGGGGTCCCAAGTTCTAGATTTTCGCTGTCCAACCAGTTTTTCTCTGTTATTTTTTTGTTTGGGTGTGAGTTTATTCGTGATTACTCTTGTACTATTACTATCATGCGATTTTTTTCTTAACTTATCCGTCTTCTTTGGACAATATTTTTTCTCAAGATATTTGTACTACAATTTATACTATTTTTTTCTGGACTACAATTTAGACTAAAAGTCTCTTCGATTTTGGTTAAAAAAATGTAAACTCGGAGTACCAAATTGGTATAAAGTTTTGACTTGGTAAATCGAAAACGAGATGTTATTAAATCATGTTATATTTTTTGGTTGACTTAGCTCATAAACTACTACTAGAGCCCAATTAAAAGAGTTGAGTGTGAACATGACATAGTAATAATGTGAATGAGTGAGTCTACGTATAGCCTTTGCTTATCTTGGCCTTTAGTGGCCACACTTTGGATGATGTGAGTGACACAAAGATTTGTACCTAGATAAACGTCCAATGATTCTTGGTGATCCACCTCATAAGACTTAGTAAGGAGAAGATTATTGGATATTCAAACAAAATTGGTCATAAGTAGTTGATAAAAAAAAAAGAACTAATGTAAAGTGTAATAATATCTTTTAACGGTGTATACCTTTTTGACAACTTATCAAACTTTCATAATTTGTGTATACCTTACCTATCTCTTGTTGGATAGTGTGTTTAGGGGGCCTTTTGTTTCATACATTAAAAATAAAACAATCCATGAAAAGTTGAAGCATCATGTTACATTTTTGCTTATATACGGAGAAGATTGTAGAATTGTGGTAAAAGTATTCTCAATTTTTTGATACGTGATCAGCTATTAAAGATCCATCAATATAGTTTCAATTCCAATGAAATGACCTATAGGCTCAATCGTTAGTGGTGTTCGTAGGATTTTTTGTGAGCAATATCGACATTTAAAAAATTATTACAACATTATACTAATAAAAATTACTTAAAACATAGTAATAAAACATAAATTTTAAAAAAAAACAATTCTCCACAATAAGTTTTCATAAAATTAAGTTCATAAGAAAATAATGAATAAATTTAAGAAATTTTGACTAGAACTAAAAAGATGAAAAGAAAAATATGAACGTTCAATTGAATTCTTACAATGCAATTATAGTTCGCTTGGATTGTTTAATCGCACATGCCATGCGCCAAACCAACGGACCAAGATTGGTTATCTTTTAATGAATTTATGATTTATTGTAGTAGTAATCATGTATTGTTTTTTCAGATTATTTATTTATATATATAATATTAAAAAAAATTTGATGACGTAGTGTTGGTGACACCCTTTGATATAAGGTCGGACCGTTCCTGATCACAATTTAACATTTTAATATTTAATTTTAATTATTTTTTTAACTCTTAAAGAAATCATATAGGGCCTATTTGGATGGACACCCAGGTAATTGGATTTGGTGTAATTAGGTGTAATTACACTGTCTGTCCTGTTTGGTTGGATATGTAATTACTTGGTCAACAAGTAATTGGAGTAATTGGCAGGAGTAATTACACTCTCCAATTCACAGGCATAGGCTGTGAATTGCTAGTAATTACACCAGCTGATTACTTTTTTTTTTATAATTTCTCTTTTTTATTTTTTTGTTTTAGTTTTTTTACTTCTATTATTTTTATTTTTATTATTCTAAAAATTTCTAAAAGTTTATTTTATATTTTATATTATTATATTTCATTTTCTTCTCGTTCTCAACCTTACTTCATGTGATTCTATGCAATTTTTTCGTATTATCTATTTCTTTATGACATGCTTATTTTCTCATTAGCATAATTTTATTAGTATTCTAATTTTTATATTAAAATAGAATTTATTGTTGAGTAAGGTTATAGACTTACGTCTTCTATTTTCTAAAAAAATCATAATTATGTATGCTATGTTGAAATTTGCGATAAGAGTATTATGATAAACTTTTTGTTTTGAATGTATAACTTATGTTATATTTTCAGTTTCATTTGTTTTAGTAATATTGAATTCACATTGCAAGTCATTTTTTAATTAGACTATAGTTCTCTTCGATTTGGTTAAAAGATGTAAATTCGGAATATCAAATTAGTGTGACGTTATGACTTGGTGAACCGAAAAATGAGATGTTACCAAACTATGTTAGTAAGCCATACTTTGGATGGTGCGAGTGACACAAACATTAACATCCAGATAAACGTTCAATGATTCTTGGTGATCCACCTCGTAGGACTTAGTAAGGAGTAGATTATTGGATATACAAACAAAATTCGTCGCTTAAGTCTTTTTGACAACTTATCAACATTAAGTTGTATTGTATTCTTGCTGGCTACTAGTTATCAGGTTATAAAAACAGTACTACTATGTACGTATCTTGTTTTTTTGTCAAATGAATTGATTATCTAATTATAAATTCCGTCTTCAAGTAATTTATTGTTGCCATTGTCAACTAATCGACTGAGCATTAAATCATAAAAAGGTACATATTTACAGAAACTTATTATGTCAAAATGTGGCGGACACCAAATAATGTGGTTAGAATGACTCTTAGGATGACCAAGAGAAACATAACAAAAATGATAGTCACATGTACAGTTCATTTTATGCATTATAGCAGAAATTTATTACTCAAAACAATAGGGTCACGGGCTTAAACAACCAAAACACTTAGGAGCCCTTTGGCCATAGATTTTCCAAGTAAAATTTGAGAAAAAAATCAATAAATAGTGTTTGTCCATACAATTTACCATTATTTGACAAATATTTTTAGTAAATAATCCAAATTCCCAAATTCTAGAAAAAACTAGTATTTAGGCCAAAATAAAAGAATGGGCCGGGTATGGGGCGTGGATTTGGGCAAATTATTTGGTTGGGTTTTAAAGTAAGGGCTGAATGGATTATTATAAAGAAAAGAATTCAAGAGACCCGGTTCTTCGAAACTTTAATTAATTTGAAATTGGGGAGAAAAATAAATTAATGGAACTTACATAAATTCCATTAGCTTAGAAGCTAATTACTTATATACACTTTAATTTGCAATATTATGTATCTTATCAAATTTTTGTGGCTCTAGATACGTCCAAATACACGTATCTCAGATACATATGGTCAAATTTAGATGTAATTTGTCTAGATACATTGTATCCAAGTGGATTCGAGTGTATCTGAAATACATAGCAAATCTCACTCGCCTTCCTCGCCTCTCTCCCATCTTGCTCACCACTCTCCCAAGATACATACGAAAATGTATCTAGTGTGATCTCGCTCGCCTCTCCGCCTATTTTTGTGTATATGGTAGCAAAAATACATGTATGTAAGAGCAAAATATTGTAGGAAACTCTTAATTAATGGTAAGATACATAATATTTTGAAAATATAGGTAATAATAGTATAAATGATAGTGAAGTATGTCCAATTATGTAGTTTTCCTAATAAATTAAGCTTATAATTAATTTCGAAGCTTCATAATTTTAACAATATGAAATAATTACTTTGATATGGACAAGTTACTTTTAAATAAAAGTACCAATTACGTCAGCCAATTTGTAAAATTAGTTGATTTTAAAAAAAAGATGGATGTTTAATTCAAATATAATTATTTTAAATTGTTTCAAATTGAAAAGGCTTAAAATTAATTAAACCGTGGAGTCTAAATTGGGTGTTCAACAATTTTTCATGCGAAAAAATTAGGAAACTTTAATTTCCACTATATCTGCTTTTCAATATGCATTTTCCCAGTGAACTATTTGGTGAAAAATGAATTCAAAAAAATGTTCTATAGCATAAATATCCGATCGATTCGAATGAAAAAAACATTTATTTCTAATAGGATTACGTAATCAACTTCAATAGAAGTATGTACCACAAATTAATATGATTTTCTTAATCTTTTCCGCAAATTTAGATCTATTTTTTTCAATTTGAGGCCGACTTGCTAAGAATTTGCCAACAAGGGTGAGACGATGGATAACACAATATTGAAGAAAATTATTCAAAATCTCTGAAGAATTCATCTAAGTTAATTGAATTAATTGTTAATGACCACAATAATAAAAAGAAAACATGGACACAAACAGTTAAATAAGACACTTGGACTTCAGCTCATAGTCAATTATTTTCAAGCTGAGAATCTGTTTGGAGTTTGGATTGACTTATCAATTTTGACTTATAAATGAGTCATAAGTTACAAATTCTAATTTATGACGTTTTAGCTTATTTTGGAGGCAAAAGAAATAAAAAGACAAATAATTCGTAAAGAAATGACTATTTTTATTGCGTTCAACTCCTTTTCTATGTATCTAAATTCGAGTGAAACTACTATGTTTTTTTGAAAGCTACTTCATTCAATTTCTTCAGCTCATTTCATTCAACTCCTTCGGTGTTGATTTTAAAGCTAGGATAGCGAGATTGTATAGGATTTTCAAATTCTCTCAAAATTTATTTTTAAATTATTCGAGACTTGATATAAATCTAATGTGTAAAATCATAAAACTCACGAGCTCTCTAAGTAATGGTCCAAATGCTACAAAAACCAAGGAAATGAAAATGACATTTGGCTTTCTAAGAAAGGAGAAGTAAAAATGACATTCTTTTTAATTAACTTCCAGTATTATTAATTAGATATATTT